AAAAAATTTTAAAAAAAAAAAAAAAAAAAAAAAAAACTAATTAAACTCTGACCTCCTAATAAAGGAGATAGATGGTGATTTACTCTCTACATATTGTACCAAACACTAGGTTTTGAAAATGGAATTTAAGGTCAGCAAAACATTCTACAGTTCTAGCCATTATTGTGATAATCAAGCCCATTTTCATGGACCAACTTTTAGAAAACTCATAATGAGGCCTGGGATACAAAATGATCAGAAGTTCTCAACTGAATATTAAAAATTAAAAATTATGAAAAAAAGTTAATAAAGCATAATCTTGGCAAAACAGCTTACTTTTGCACGACGAGTAATATTTCATGGTAAATTACTTCAAAAATATGGATAAAACTAACACACCCACCAGCTCATGGAGATGTTCTGAGGAACAGGTTAGATCACGTATGAAAATGTTTTTAAAAGTACAATGAACTTTACAAAGTTAAAAGATAATCTTTTATCAAGGCTGGACAATGTGTAATGTTTATCAGTAAGATAACACATCCCATTTTAGGATTATATTGTATTAGTGACATATAAGTATGTGTGTTTTACATGCACAAACTGAAGATAAAATTGTGGCAAATATATTGACTTCTGCTAAATAAGACCACTGATTTTTTTAAAACAAATGATTAAGAGCATTCTCAAGGAATTTTTGGATTAAACTGGATACATGAACATGTACACAATAACATAAATATGATTTGGAAAGCAAGTCAAGAAAATTTCCATTTCAGATGATTCAAGTGAACATTCTGAAGGTGTCCACACACCATGTCTGCAGTACTGTCCTTTGAAAATAAAAATAATTTAGTAATTTTACAATTTCAGGTCTTATACTTAACTCTTTAGTGCATTTTGAGATGATTATAGTATACGGTGAGAGGTGCATGTCTAGTTTCATTCTTCTTCATATGGTATCCAATTTTCCCAGCACCACGTATTGAAGAGGCGGTATTTTCCCCAAATGTATGCTTTTGTTGCCCTTGTCAAATATCCGATGGCTGTAAGCCTGAGGGATGATTTCTGGGTTTTCTACTCTGTTCCATTGGTCTGTGTGTCTATTTTTATGCCAGTACCACGTGTTTTGGTTACTATAGCTTTGTAGTATAATTCAAAGTCAGGTAGTGTTATGCCTCCAGCTTTATTTATTTATTTTTGCTCAGGATTGCTTTGGCTATTTGGGGTCTTTTGTTGTCCCATATGAGTGTTAAGACTGTTTTATCCATTTCTTTGGGGAATGTCATTGGTATTTTGATGAGGATTGCATTGAATCTGTAGATCGCTTTGGGTAGTATTGACATTTTCACATGGAATGTCTTTCCATCTTTTTGTGTCTTCTTTAATTTCTTTCAGAAGTGGTTTGTAGTTCTCATTGTAGAGATCTTTCACCTCTTTGGTTAAATACTCCTAGATATTTTATTTTTTTCATGACTTGTAAATGGGCTTACTTTCTTGATTTCTCTTTCTGTTAGCTCATTATTGGAGAATATAAATGCAGCCGATTTGTGGCATTTATTTTGTATCCTGCAATGTTACTGAAATTATTAACCAGTTCTAGGAGTTTTTTGAAAGAGTTTTTAAGTTTTTCTATATATAGTATCATCTGGGCACAGACTTTATGAATATGAGCCTGAAAGCACAAGCAACAAAAGAAAAAATAAACACATGGGACTATATCAAACTAAAAAGCTTCTGCATGGCAAATGAAACAATCAACAGAGTGGAACGACAGCCTACAGAGTGGGAGAAAATTTTTGCTAACTATGCATCTGACAAGGGATTAATATCCAGAATATACATAGAACTCAAGCAATTATACAGTAAAAAAACAAATAACCCAATTAAAAAATGGGCAAAGGAGCTGGATAGATATTTTTCAAAGGAAGACATACGGATACCCAACAGGTACATGAAAAAGTGCTCAATATCACTAGTCATCAGGGAAATACAAATTAAAACTACATTGAGATATCACCTCACCCCAGTTAGCCTGGCTATAATCAAAAAAGATAGAGAATAACAAATGTTGGTGAAGATGTGGAGAGAAGGGAACACTCCTATGTTGTTGTAAATTAGTACAACCACTCTGGAAAACAGTATGGAGGTTTCTCAAACAACCACAGATAGATCTTCCATACAATCCAACAATCCCACTTCTGGGTATACACCCAGAGGAATGGAAATCATCATGTCTAAGGGATACCTGCACTCCCATGTTTATCACAGCTCTGTTTACAATAGCCAAGATATGGAACCAATGTAAATGTCCAAAAAAAATGGATGATTGGATAAGGGAACTGTGGTATATATACACCATGGAATACTACTCTGTCATAAAAAAGAATGAAATTCTCCCATGTGCAACAACATGAATGAG